TAAAACCACAACCTGACATACCACCTCACAGTGTTCACTATCAGGAAGTAATGTATTATGTAAACATGGACTAAGCCTCACTTTAACATTGCCATTTGTAGAACAGATGAGGCCGGATGATGTTGTTCGGCTCTCAAAGCTTCAACAGGTATGCATTCTCAATATAATGTACCTACATAATTATGTATCTATGTGGAGTATATAAGCGGTTTCTAATAGGTTTATACTCATGTTATAATTATAATTTATTAATTAGCATGCTGTTTGAGCTCCTATGATCTGTGTTATACGAATAACTATAATAAATGTTATAAAATGAAGTAATGTAATCAAATATTTATTTTTATCTTTTCCATTTTAAGATAGGGAATCAGACTTATTATTATAACATATAAAACTAAAGGAAAAAAATGTACTTTTGTTTACTTTATTTACAGTTATCTTACTTGTTTACAGATATCAGCAATTGATGTCTGCTGTACCTATGACACGGCCTGTTCTCTTTTTAGATGAAGTACTCCTAGAAACAACCTGAATACAGTGAAATAAAAGTATTTCAAAATAATACATTTGTTTTATTTTAACCTAGTAAGTAACTATATATTCCATCTTGATAAAAGTGATTTTAAGAATCAATCTATAAAATAAATGCCATATTTAATTTAGATAGCTTTAGTTTTATACCAAAAATGTTCATTTTCATTTTACATTTTCTTTAGTTGTAATGTGGTGGCCCAGAGGTTTAAGAAGCCCGCTTCTCATGCATGAGAGTGCGGGTTCGAAACCTACCAACGGCAAAGTACCTTTTGTCCAATGTGTCTTTTTTCCGAGTTATTGGTATATTCAATAATCTAAGAAAGTACAAAGACACCGCTGACGAATGGTGAAGGAAAACATTGTGAGGAAACATGGGCTTATAATTTCTTATTATAAGTTTGAATTACCAACACACATTGAGCTAGTATGGTGATTAATGCTCAAGCAGCGGCCACTTATAGACTTAATGATGAAAATGTTGATGATTCTACTAATTTGACTTACTTATTAGAAATTAATCCTTACATGCGTGCTAAGCAACCAGTTTTCAGAAGAAATACTTTCTCAAAGAGCTAAGCTAAGTTTAAATCGAATTAACTTGAGACCCTTGAGACTATCTACCTGCAAGATTCAAGGTGAAGTGAGACATTAGTTTTATCATATCCGCCACAAGACTTCCACTGCTAAATGTAGGCCTTCTACCCAATGACAGTCGCTTACATTATGAATTTGCATTTTCGTAGGCACCTAAGAAATGAAAAAGATTGTGAGGCATACTCTTTAAAACTCTATAGGTGCATCATGCTTGCTGAATTAACAGGATCATTCCTAATTGCCTTTTGCGCTGCGACGCACCATAGGTTATTTTTTGGGTTTCTAAATTCTTGTTGTGTGTCGTAGCAAAATAAATGGTTTTTCTTTCTTTCTTTCTTTCTAATAATACAAAGTGTAATAGTCACTTGAGTAGCGAGCAGTATTTTTAGATTTTTGTTTTTTGTAAATAAACAACCACATGAGAGCACATTGACATTTTTCAGTTAACTGTCATCTGTCATTTGTAATAGATATTTTGCTTACGGTGGCTCTACACTTGACGTTGCGTATTTGTTGTGTTCGGCCAAAAAAGAACATGTTTGGAGGATTTATTCTTCTTTGTTTGCTATATATTTGCACGCCATTACATATAGAGATACTATTTGGACGCCATTTGTACGTAGTCTACAAATATTTGGACAAATGAAGCGACTACGCAATGTCAAGTGTGGTACCACCTTAACATACCTTTTGCACATTTTCAAAGTGAAATAACTTTTGAACCCCAAGTTCTAAAAATATGTAATTTTTTTCTAAACTTCATAATAAAAATATCTATCGTTCAGACTATTCACTTGGTTAAAACAATGACTAATACAAAATTTTATAGCGGTACAAAACTTCCATACAAACCTGCCATTCTCCTTTAGCTGTATATCTAGTTTTCAAAATATTATAAGTAGCACACGTGTCAGGAAACATGGATGTATAATTTAAAATTATAAGTTTGGAATCGCCAATCGGACTTGATGCGTGGTGATTATTGCACATTCCATCTCGCCTCATTGGCCGAGTAATCGCAAGTACGATTGCCGGGTAAAGGGTCTCGGGTTCGATTCCCCGGCAGTAGTAGCATGGAGTCTAGAAATGTGCCCGATATGTGGCAATAGGCTCAATCCGTATTACATGGGACTCATAACATAAATAGTGAAAAGTGGATCTTACATTGTACAGTGGCAATAAGTGCTGTATCTATTGTTCACCTCTGCCTACCCTATCTGTCAATATATCTGTGTGATAAGTGGTCATTGCCCAGCATCAGGACAGTTCAAGCTGATGAAGTGTGTACGTGTTTTTATAGGAATGGCGGTCAAGCGAGCAGACGGATCACCTGACGGTAAGCAATCGCCCCCCCCGCCCCCTAACACTCGAAACACTAGACCAGTTACAAGTGCGTTACAGGCTTATTGGGGTTAGAAATTTGAGAAATAGGGATATGGTGATTTAGAATATTTAAGAAAATTAGAAATGCAGTAGGTACATAGATACGACAAGAAACATAAATGGCTATAAGTTAAAATTCTGCAGATGTATAAAAAAAATAAGAATTGTCTACTTTAAGTACAATGACGTAAAGGTTATTTTGCAATGAGTAGTTAGTATTTTATATCTAAGAATTGTTTACGAAAGTACTTTTGTAACTAGATTAGGTCAGTACCTATTTCATAAGTGTCTAATTAACAATATGGTAAGGAGGTATTGTTTACAGCATTGTGGGTAACCCTATTTTCACATGACCCTAATATTATTGATCTAATAATTATGTAACACTACTGAGCATTGAGCATGTTATTCTGGGCTCGATTGCTGAGTATAAAAAACATCAAACACAATATTGGCTCTTTGGATAATCTTTACAGGTAACTAAATTAGGTAAAGTTTTAGACTAAAGTAATACACTGAATAATAGTTTGAAATTAGTAAATGAAAACTATATTTTTCTTGACTAGATCGCTCTCTTGACTTAAGAGTGAAGGCAGAAGCACTAACATTTAAATTTTTAAATAGGTATGTGTGAGAGGGCCATGCTTCGGTACGAATGGACCGGCTCGACCGGAGTGATACCACGGCGGCGTCACAGAAAAACGACGCACTAGGTACGTGAAACAACGCTTGCATTGTGTTTCGTGGTGTGAGTGAGGTTACCGGAGGCCCAATTACCCCCCCACCCCTTAATCTCACCAATCCCCAATCCCTAAATAGTCAACTATCCCCAAATTCCTAATCCCCAAAAGGCCGGTAACGCACTTGTAACGCCTTTGGTGTTCCAGATGTCCATGTGCGACGATGATTGCTTAACATCAGGTGGTACCTACGTCTGTTCGTTCACCGGTTTATCTCATAAAAATGGTAGGTAACTACTTACATATTAAACTATACGCTACATTTTTCTAATTCTTTAACGAAACATAAATATAGGTAGGTAGAATGATTCATCGTGATCAAATGATCATACATAGCAAAGTTCGAAGTCTGACAGAAAACTGCAAATTGCAATACCAACACAGCATTGCACGAACTGAAAACTCAACCGAAATGTCACCTTCACTCAACGTTCACAATCAAAACCGTCAAGTCATCGAATATCTTCGAAATAGTACACAAAGGTGTAAGTAATTATATGCTAATTATAATCAAGTATATGACACTACGTATTGAATGCTTACGAATTTCTAATTCCAAGTAAGGTGAATATTTTTCTTAGAAAAATTTATTATTTGAACGAAACGATACGTACCTACCTACTCATAGACACAATGTAAAATGCGAGTAACTATAACTAATTTGTGTCTGTCAATAGATTTTTAATCGTACTGGGTTATATTTAAGGATCAAAGTAATTGATTAAAGATATTAGATGTTAAAAGAAAAACGACCCAACATTATTCCCCACATGTTTTGAAATAGGGCAAAATAATAATACCTACTCGCGTTCGCGAACATTCAACAAACTAGTCAGACCATAACAATAACTAGTAATTCTACGCATAAAAACCTTTATTAATAATGTAAAAATATGTATATTACACCTATAATGAGAATAAAAATATTTACGTAAAAAATATTCAACGGTTCTAGCACAAGAAACTTGTTTTATTCAACAGTTTTTCAAAACAAACTTAACTAGTTATAACTACTCGTAAGATAAACGAAGCTTTAGTTTTACGCCTATTATTCGTCGAAAAAACTACGATTTTTATGGAATGGGGGCCAAACAAACAGAAGGATCACTTGATTATAATCGATTAACATCGCCCATAGACACCCGGTAACCTATTTAATCCTCCGCGCGCCGCGACTAATGGATATTAGAATACAAATTGTTTAGCAACCAATATTCCACAATTATATGAAAATGATTCCTTAAAAAATGCCTAAAATACTGGCAACGCACTTGTAACCGTTGTTGTGGATGTCAAAGAACGGTGCTGATCATCAGGTGATCTCTTTGCTCATTTGTCCTCATACGCCATAAAATATTATCCAATTCGTACTTGACCGTCCTCAACTCATAGTTATGGCACCTCACGCAAAATCGATGACCATAAGTGAACAAAAAAAGAAAGTGGACATGAAAGTAGGTTCGCAAACCAATTTTTTTTATAAATCTTTTTAATAAATAACGTATGAATTATTTTACAGGTAATAATACTCGCTTTGAAATGTAGTTTAAATATAATAGAATATTAATCATAATTCAGTGCAGATGAAGCCGATCGATTGAAAATGCAACGCCCTGCATTGAATTTCCGAATAAAGGTCAGCGACCGGCCTTCCGAGTTCGGAAGCAAACTAATCAATCATAATTTACATTCCACAATTTTAATACAGCATTATAAATAGATAAAATAGTTATTAAAAGTACTTACATGCCCATTTTCCGTATGCTTTAAAATTCACTCGATGAAACTTAGGAGCAATCACGTATGTATAGAACGGAACCAAAAACGCTTTACAACAGATATAAAAAAAAAATAAACACGCAGACAAATTGCCTAAAGCCACAATCGTAGGATGTACGGGCATTCCATAAAAATCGGTTTGCATTTTTACAAATTAATTTGTTGTTTTCACAATAAATAAAAGTGAGAGGTTAGGTTGGAGAGAGCCGCACCGTCACCGTTTGACACGATTCGCGCATGCGTACTAGCGGTCGAAGAAAGTTGCCATGCGCCGTGAATGAACGAGTGCGTCCGATATCGAATGAGCGAAACGAGTGGCTCGCCCGAAAATAGATGAAGACCGATCAAGTTGTGTGAAAGAAACAGATATAAAATATAACGCCGTCTCGCTCTAGTGGATTGATAAGTTCGACATTGAACGAGGGTTTGTAGGTCACATCCAGATTGTTGTGAGGCGGGAAGTTTAATTTTTTTTTATTTTAATTTCAAACTAATCTTTATGGCGGTACGTTACATTATTGGATAGCAAAATTTCTTTTTAAGATTTTGTGAAAGCGGTAAGGAATGGCCCGTACATGGACGAAATAATAACCGAAATTAAATTAATAAAATAATATAGAACAAAAATAAATAACTACAAATGTTATTTGTAGATATTGATAAGAGTCTCTCAATCCCCTTGGATCTCATTCATGGTTTTATATTCTAATTTCAAAAGGTTGATAATAGTATAGATACCTACGTTTAAAAAACCTATTTCAACTCCCTCTATTTTTGAAGTCGGTGACTGCCTCGCTGGCCGAGTGGTCGCAAGTGCGACTGTCGGGCACGGGTCTCGGGTTCGATTCCCGGGTCGGGCAAAGTAAAACTGTTTTTGTTTTAAAGTCTCAGTAGTAGCACGGGGGCTGGAGTTGTGCCTGGTATATGGCAATAGGCTCACCCCCTATTACATGGGACCGAAATCCGCATCAAAATCCGTACAGCCAATTGCGAGATAAATACGCACAAACATAATACATACCTACAGTATCAAATAAAGAAGTTTTTTTTTTGAAGTCGGTTAAAAATGTAATATAATATAACATCACGCCTTTTATCCCCGAAGGGGTAGACAGAGGTGCACATTATGCCACTGTACAATGTAACACCCACTTTTCACTGATTATGTCATGAGTCCCATGTAATAGGGGGTGAGCCTATTGCCATATACCGGGCACAATTCCAGACTTCGAGCTACTACTGAGATTTTTTTACAAACCCAGTAATACTTTGCCCGAGCGGGAATCGAACCCGAGACCCCTTGCCCGGCAGTCGCACTTGCGACCACTCGGCCAACGAGGCAGTCGAGGTTAAAAATGTGTGTTAGTATAACGACTAGAGGTATAAGCACTAGATAGACCGGTTAAACATTCAACAAATTGTTTATAACATACCACGTGGTTTTATTTATTAATGCCAGTATTGATAACTGTCTGCATATTTTACCTGCCGCGGACGACCTAACGGGTTGCCGGGCTCCGGCTCGAAGGGCAGGAGTAGGAACGGGGTGGTTTTTAGTCAGTAAGAGTTTGACACTCCCTTCCTCCTCACCCGGGCGGGAGAAGTCATTAGATGATATCAAATCAAATCTATACTAATGTTATAAAGCTGAATAGTTTGTTTTTTTGTTTGTTTGTTTGTTTGTTTGAACGCGCTAATCTCCGAAACTACTGGTTCGATTCGAAAAAATCTTTCTGTGTTGGATAGACCATTTATCAAGGAAGGCTATAAGCTAAAAATATCACGCTACGATTAATAGGCGCCGAGCGGAGCGAGTGAAACCGCGCGGAAGTAGCTATGAAGTATATTTTACCTACTAAACATAGACTAAACTATTTTTAACAGAATTATTAAAAAAGGTTCTGCGCTTTACCTGTATGTGTGTACGCAATTATTTCGCGATTGGCTGAAGCGATTTTGATGCGGTTCTTAGAATATTGTTTGTTATACTTAATTGTTAATTACCTAACCGACTTCAAAAACAGAGTGGGTCGTTGCACTAAGAAGGGTTTGGTATAAGTAATTATCAATTACCCGAATTAAAAAAAATACAGACTTTAAGATTTTTTAAACGTCGTTCATAAAACAATTATTATGTATGGAGTTTTTATCAAATGTTTCCTCTAGTCAGCAAGTATACCTAGTAAAAGCCAGACTAACAACTAAAACTGGTTATAAGGTTCCTATCAATAAATGCCAGAAGATTTGACAAGAATTTACCACTTTAAATCTCTATTTAACTTCAAATTTTATATTCTGTCCAATTAGACGGGGTATATAGGGCCTCTACAGAGGTTCTTCATTACGACCAGAGAAAAAAAATATTCCCTTTTTTGCTAACCCGGAGATAAAACCCAATAAGTCATGACCGACAGTCACGTCATCAGAACTCGCTCAACAAGGTAGTCGATACAATAAACAGACACACGGAAATCAATGCGAATTATTTTTATAGACCTACAGTAAGTAATTTTGCTAGAAGTTTCGAACTTGTAATGTGTCGACTATTCCGGTTTTTATTTAAACATTAAAACTAGAAACGAGATACAATTAATATCAATATCAAACCTAACTATTATAGTTGTCAAAAAGATTTTGAATAATTAAATAGACTTTTAAACTGTACTTAATTGTGGGAGAGCCATGCTTCGGGACGAATGGGCCGGTTCGACCGGAGTGATACCACGGCCTCACAGAAAACCGACGTGAAGCAACGCTTGCGTTGTGTTTCGTCGTGTGAGTGCGGTTACCGGAGGCCCAATTACCCTTCCCTTCCCAATCTCCCCAATCCCTGAATCCCCAACGATCCTCAAACTCCTAATCCCCAAAAGGCCGGTAACGCGCTTTTAACGCCTCTGGTGTTCTAGATGTCCATGGGCGACGCCGATTGCTTACCATCGGGTCATCCGTAGGCTCGATTACCGGCTTATGCCATAATAAAATTGGCGAAAATTTTATAAACCTTAGCCTTAAGTATATTTTAGCGGGACACCATGGTAGCGCAACCCATCGCCACGACCGACTAAAAATGTATACAGCTCTATAGAGCTACTCACCAGTAGGCCTACTCTTGAATCCAATTCCGATCGATCGACATTGGTATTGTGAACTTTCGTACTATTGAGTTGCAACACTAGCGCCCATTGCATCCGTATTGCGTGGATATTTAATGAACAAAATGATATTGAGTTCGGCATTATGTATTATTAAGTATATTCTGTACTCTGAATACTATTTTAACAGCTACGAGGGGGTTGTATATTTTTGAGCCGTTTTTTTTAAAAGATAGATTGATTCTTAACTCGTCGAGTACCGGTTTTATAGACACAATTAAAGAACAATAGGTCGCAGTCACCGGTGACCGCTCGGTGTTTGACAGATTAAGGAAGGTTTATATGTATAATATTAGGAGCGGGTCGCTAGTAAGAGTATACAGTACAGTACTACAATACTTTTTAAAATTATCTAGACGATTTTGGCTTTTGACTTTGACTTTGAGGAGGCTTTGCTCAGCAGTGGACATTTGTAGGCCGTTGATGATGATGATGATGATATCCCTAAGTAGGTACTACAGCAGTATCAAATCAATGATACAACAGACATAATAACCAATAGAATAATTACAAACAGCTTACGTATTAATTGATCAACGTATAATGAATCACAACTTGATGCAGCCAAGCGTACGATCTCTGATTTGGATGGGTGCGCAGTAGACATACATAATGCACGTCAAACTATCCTTCACTTACACACTTCTTCAATAGATTATGAACTCTCAGTGTACGTAGAATAAAGTTGAAAATTGCTTGAAGATATTTGATAGATTGGTGTAGGTTTTAATGCTGGTGTATGTATTACATTAAGTTGTAGTATTGATGATATTATTGGGGCTGTTTAATGATATACCTATCTTAGATTATCTAACGCTGTCTCATCCTAAAAGAGTATAGACTAGACATAAGCATAATATTAATTTAATGCATAGCTACCTTGTTGTACAGTCTCTTTTTTGTGCCTTTAGGCTTAAGGAGGCCATACACGGTAGGTTATGCATGATGGTGATAACTTTGCATGCAAAACCGACAAGCATAACCGAGCATCGATGCACCGATAACTGCACAGTTAAATCACATACACGGACACATACTAGGGCTTGCCTGTCGGTTATGCATGCACAGCTAAAACCATCATGCAAAACCTAGCGTGTATGGCGTCCTTTAATTCATTCTGTCTCCTGCAGTAATACTCAGAGGGAAGTGAAAACTATCGTTTTTTTTTCTTCTCCTCCTATAATATCTTCTGATTCACTTCGTTGTGGGAACCAAGAAAGTTACTCATGTCCCTGGGACGCGTTGGACTTCAGTGTTCCGATGTTTTCATGATTGTATGTACTGATCCTCATTTACAGGAGTTGTGGTTGTGGCGGGCTTGTCACATTAAAAAGAATAGCTATCTTGTTGATCGAGTCGTTAATTTATAATTTTTCTGCTTCCAAATGACCTAAAAAATCTTAAGTTAACATCATTTAGAACAAAATTATTTAAGTTTCTGTTAAATAATTGCTACCATCCAACTAAAGAATTTCTTAATGACAAGGATAACAAGAACATTGTTAGAAAATAGTGCATAATATTTATATATAAGTGAAAACTGTGAAAGAAAACATCATGATGAAACCTGGGCTTATAATTTCCAATTATAAGTTTGAAATCGCCAACCCGCATTGAGCAAGCGTGGTGATTAATGCTCAAACCTTCTCCGTGTGAGAAGAGGCTTTGCTCAGCAGTGGGCGTTTATAGGCTGTTGATGATGATGATGATTATTACGCTATCATCTACAAGGAAGGAGCTGTAAATCACTATAACACGCGGTCGAAGTCGTGGGCATAACTAGTAAAGCTTATAAATACATTCTTAACTAGCAGTTCATCAAAGTATACCAAAATGTAGTTAATAAATAGAAACGTCAATACAATTCACTTGAACACTAGCAAGAGTTTCTTCGATGGTATTATAGAGCCTGCCACAAACTACTTGGTTGGGTAAAGACAGGGTGCTATAGATAGCGAGTAATATGAACCTTATTTTAAAGCTGTTAATTAAA